GGGTAGTAGCACGCTGCCATCAACCAGAGCAGATACGTGTAGTTTACTTCCCCTACCTTTTCCACAACAAAGAAGGGGAAAAAAAAAAAAAAAAAAAAAAGTTACGAGCCAAAATATGAACTAGGAGAGATATGGTTCTAGTTTAGGTCTCCGCCCACACAATCCCTCCCAAAATGAGGCATTGGTCCTTGGCTTCAGAGACACCCCCTGCTGGAGGACTACAAAATAGGCTGTCAGGCTTAAGAGTGTAAGTTGAAGAATTCTCCCCGTTTAAACATCAGAACCAACTTGGGAGACGTGCCTTTTGCTCTGAAACTTGATCTGCTTAACCCAAGGCTGAGGCAAGTACTTTAAACCTTTACCCTCCTTTCTGTTACCTCTTTGCTGTGCTATTGTTCTCTGTATATTTATATATTAGTTACATCTTTTCTCTGTAAATATTTTTATTGCACCCTTTTGACCTTTTAGTAATAAATCTTTCTTTCTGAAAGTGTTGAACTGTTTCTATAGCTCGTTAATGCAACTTACGAATTCCTACCTTTAAAAGAGCGCTACAGTGTTTGTTTAACCCTCTGTATAACCTGTCTGCGGTGACAGTGCTATACAGACAATTATCTCAACCATCATAGTGTTATTGCTGATATTGTTGAGTTTCCTCTTTCTCTGTACAAAAAGGAGATGGTGGCAGTGTGAAGGGTTAATTGTGTAATTAACCTGACCCAGTAACAAATTGCTCCCAGGCTGCCGGTACATCGATTGGTGGTCCATTAGCTGGAAAATCGTTGCGCAGGGTGCAGCTGGGCCCATGGCATTGTTACGCACGTGACATCGCGGTTTTAGATTGGCTAGTCCTTCGGTCAGGAGTTTGGTGAGAAGGTCGGGGGTCTGACACACGATCGTCACAGTCTCCACCAGTACAAAACAGCAAATATTCTGTGGATGCTTGAGGAAACATTTAAATGGCAACTAACAGCATAGGAAGTAATCTCAATCCTTTCTGTACTACCCTCTTAAGCATAGAATTTGTGGATGATAATAAAGTTTGCAAGCACTTAATTTGGAACACTTCACCCACATCTGCCATCACCTTCCACATCAAAGAGGGGGTAGTGCCGTGGTTAATCAAGAACTCCTTGGGAAATCTTGTTCTTAGAAAATTGCAAGGAAGTTTGTTGCATATATTCTTGAGGAAGCATTTCTTGGAGGAACAGCCTCAAAATACCTAGTTACATAACTGAAAATGATCAGTATAAGTTTGTGTCCTTGTGCTGACTTCACCAGGGGGGACCAACCAGATTCAATTGCAATGCACCCAAATGATACTTTGATTATTGGCTAGAGACATTAAGAGGCTTCAGAAGCATGACACCAGTGCAATTACCTGGCAAGTGGGTCAGTAAGCATGATATCACTTAACCTCCGTCTTCCACCCCAGGCAGTAATATAGGTTACTAATCTGTGCTTCTGCCTTCCCAGGCCCCCCATGTTTTCCCAGTGCTTTGTGAGCCAACTCATGCAACATCCACCTACACAGCTGCAGCACCAATAACTAGTCTGCAACCCCACTGCAAACTTTAGTAATATGGTAATCACTAAGCATTTACAAAATGAAGAACCTTCTAGTCATCAAATGGATTTCCATAACAATGCCAGATGCTACCTGTAACCTGCTCTCCAGGGATTATCCACAGGAGATCTCACATTTGCCACAGTGACAAAAGCTACACTTGACACATTCAAGTCAAAAATGTGTGAGGACCTGTAATGACCTGCATTTCCAAAAATATGCCCCTTCTTAACCAATCAAACCACCAAACTACCAGTGCCTTGTTATCCATTGCAACTCCCTCCTCATTGATCTACCTCTGCAGACTATCTACAGTCTGTCATGAATGCTATAGTCAGTACACTTTACCAACTCCTAACTCCCCACCACCCCTCTTTGCCAGTACCTCCACTGGCTTCCAACCTCCCAAAAAATAAAATTCTAAATATTTTATACAAAGCCTTCCACAACTCTGCCAAGTTACATCACCAGCCTTGTCTCATATATCACCCAAAATTGTCCTCTGTGCTACTCCCAACATCTTCTGCTCTCTAGGTCTCTTGCCACTTCCTCCCATACTCATAGGACTCCTTCACAGCCTTTATGGTCTTGCCCTTTATATGGTAAAGTGCTGCACAAACTATTGGGTATATATAAACACAATGCTGCCGTCATCAACCAACAACATCTAGCATTCAAAATCTTGAGCATGTTGCCTGCCTCTAACAAAGCCTTGGCAGATGGGTGGTTCACCAGTATTTAAAAAAAAAAAAAAAAAAAAAAAAAAGGCCTCCCATAGGCCTATTGTGCAAACTTGTCCACCCACACACCCAAAAAAGGCTCAGCATTGCATTGGCTCCTGCTATAGAGGACACTGGGCCCCAGGAGTGACACCCCCAGTTTGAGCAGGTCGTAGTCTCAATGGAGGGGTAGAAACCTGGAGATTGGAAGGGGATGTCTGAGCCTTTGTGTGCTGGATCTAGGTTCTGCAGAGCTCCGTTCCTGGAAGCTGTAAGAGACCTCCGTACTCATGAAGAAATGGGTCCCGTCATCTGGCAGGCCCAAGCAGATCCTCCACACCACGTCCATCAACTGATATGCAGATTTGGAGTCTCTATTCTGGAGATTTTCAGGCAGAGACCTCAAATATCTATGACAATCAACTTCACGATTTGGGGACCAGACAAAGCATACGGCTGCAGTAGTTTCTTAAGCTGCACTGGGTTGTGTTTGGAACCTTGATGGCAAATATCTCCAGTTAAACACTCTTTGGACCCAGACAGCAGTAATCACCCTAAGGCTTTCCAGGATTTTCACTTTCAGGTGATAGTTTTTTGGCCTTACCAGGTGGAAGGTCATAGCTCTTCTGTGACTCATGGGAAAAGGGTCAAGGAGACCAGCCCACTGTTCTTGAAGCCACCCCTTTCTCTCCTCTAGCCTCAAAATGTGGTGAGGAAGGCTTTCACATCCTTGGTTGGGGACAGTTTTTGCAGGCATTGACAGGCTCTTGCAGTTGCCTGGTTACTAGGGGAAACCGCTGACTGCTCACATCCTTGAAATAGGTGTTTGACAGCCTTCCAAGAACCCACACAAAAAGTACTTTTGCTGGGTTGCAACTGCCTGCATCACAGCTTGTTGCTGATGCACCAGAACCTTCTTATGGTAGGTCTGTGCTTGCAAGTTGTTCAAAGCCAGTTATTTGGCCAGGTCTTCCATCGCTTTCTATGGATTTTAGAGCCTGTACAGGTTTAACTCATGACATAGAAAAGGTACACTGCCCCTTTAAATGTTGGTTTTCATTTGATGGTGGATAAGAGAGCTATAGCCAGAAAAGTCTGTTAATATGGTGAAAACTTGGGAGTCACAGATACATAAATAAAATGGTCTATTTTTCCACAAAAAGTCAAAACAAGGTTACCAGTATTCTGACAGTACCAAAATAGGGGTAATAGCCATAATCCGTTCAGAGGTGGTGGGAACATCTCAAGCCACCCTACAGTATACCAAAGAGATCTCAATAGCAACAGACAGCCCTGACAAACCCAAATTCTCAACACCATTTGTACTAGTATGAATGTGTCAGTGCAACAATTTGCAATATAAAAATGTTACAATACCAGCAGTCATTTTAGTAGAGGCAGCCTGTGCAAAACTGACAATTAACTGCCTGTCCAGTGAAATCATAGATCTTTCCTCCTCTTCTCCAGCATTTGTGGGTGGTCCTTGCTCCTCCACTACATGATGCTCATAAAATGAGTCTACAGTGCAGTTATACTGAGCCCAGGCTAGCATGATGACCCCCCCCCCCCCCCCCCAAAAAAAAAAGGGGGCATCATCTCCATGACAACCTGGACTCAAAGGAAGCGGGCTGAATGACACTGTCTGAAGATTGGTGGAACAGAATTAGTACAGAGGACAGCAATGGATTGGACAGTAAAGAAGCTGGATTGTTTTTATTGCAGCTTGTTGTAAAGATGGATTTTTACTTTGGGCAACTTTTGTAAACAATTACCTAAAACCAGATCTACTGTATAAAAAAAACAAAAAAAAATTCAGCCAGACATTCTAAAATTTGCTAGACAAGATAAAAAAAAAAAAAAAAAAAAAAAAAAAAAAAACAAGCTAAAACATATTAGGAAAAGTATTACTTTTTATTTAAGAATTCATTCTTTTGTACACTTGCAGGCAGACAGTTTGAAGACTATTTGTCCATTTACAAAAAAGAAAAAAAAAAAAAAAAAAAATCATCACCTTCCCTCTTTTTGTACAACCATCTGCCTCCCCACTTGGACGTTTTTACTTTACCAATTTATGACAACCTTTTTAAAACCCCCCTTGTATAATATTCCACATAATCATTCATAACCCAAACCAAGATATCCATAGTGCAAACTTCATCTTAAAGTTTTAGCATAACTACACATTGGTGATGATGGTACATAAGCTGCAAACAGGCAGGCCAAAAAGCTTAGTGCTTTTCCTTCCATGTCCCTACATGTATTATATAGCAGCACAATGCACTGTCTGACCAGGCCATAGGATCGCAGGCATACTGATGTTAGCACAAGTCTCTACTTATGCCAAGTTAAAAAACAAAAAAAAAAAAAAAAAAAACAAAAAAAAAAAAAAAAAAAAAAAATCACATTTCTCTCAGAAGGCAAGTCAGAAAATGCACCGTCAGATAATGGGAGGGTGCAGCCTTGGACTTCACAGCTGTTTCCCCAGGGCTGCAAGGTAAAATCCCAATAAATGCACTGTATGAAGATATTTTGGGCTTGAGATTCTTGGGAAAAAAAAAAAAAAGGTGGGGGGAGAAAATGTGTTTTTGCAGTCTGAATGTTTAACAAAGATTTGTTTGCCACTCCAATTTGCCATTGTGGATATCAAATACTAGCCATCCTGGTCAGAAGAGGACAGCATTAGTGGACAGTATAGATTGCGGCGCAAAGTCTGTTCATTCATCAGAACCTGCTGATCGCTTCTGGGCTCGTTTACGTGGAGATCTCCTTGGGGAAGCTTTATCTAATAAAAAAGGTTAAGAGAAAAAAAAAAGAAATATTTGACATATTATACAATGTATGTTTTGCAGTTAAAATTATGTAGGCACAAAAATGTTAAAATGTTTGTTTACAGGAAAAAAAATCCAGCTAGGTTTATAAATCTGACTGCTTAGCCATTAGCAGATAAAAAGCAACAATCCTTGCAAAATATTACATACAGAGTAAATGAGGGAAGGTTCAAAAACGTCCTTTGTATTGTCAATTATGTACATGACCCCATTGTGAATGTGGGAGTTTATCTGTTAGGGTCACCCAAGCTCTAAAATTCTTGCTTGTAATAAAACAAAGGATCTTGTTGCAGCAAATTTCTTTAACTCCTCCCCCCTCCCCCAACATATATTTAAAGCAGCAAAAGGGTGGGCTTTAACCTTCACACACAGCACATATGCATTGCTGGGCAGCCAATGTCTACTGTGCAGGGATACCAGAATCACAAATTAAAATGCAATATAAAACACTTGCATATCAAAGCTAGATTTGAAAAAGAAAAAAAAAAAAAAAAAAAAAAAAAAAAAGAGCTAGCCCATACACAAAGAAGCACCACCTTGTGAGAGCCGCCCTGGTCGGGAGCTGTGAGAAGAAGCAGACCACTCTGGGAAGGGGCCAACAGCAACAAGCTCCTTTGTGGTTGGCTTAGCCATCGCCTCTTTTCTGGTCTTGCTGTTGGCCCCTTCCTGGAGTGGTACAGTTCTAATGCATTTTGTAAATAGGACAAAAAACAAACACAGGCCACAGTGTGGCGCAACATTAGTGTCCATGATAGTGGTCCACACTCTAAATAGGACCCTTTGGAGCGCAAACATCCCACACCTGGATCAGAGGCCCTTCCATCTGCCAACCCAAGGTCTATTAAGAGTGCTTCAGTGCCCAGTAGGACACCCTCATTGAACAAGAGGCAGCAATTAGTCAGGCACCAGCTCCAGGGGCAAAGTTTTTGACAGCCTTTATACTCTTAAATTCTGCTCTCACAACAAATGAGAACCTAATAACAGCAGTCTTGTGGTGGCTGCTCTTTTGCTTTAAAGAAAGTCTTTAAAGGATTTATTTTTCAAAGGTCTGGTATAATAGGTCTGCCCCAGCCATAAAAAAAAAAACAGTATGTGTACACCAAGTACTACCTGATGCATATTCCTACACAAGTTACCAATTACGCATTTTTTTTCTGACACTGCTAAAAATAAGAGTTTCAAAGAACACTGTCATGAGTGTCGAGAACCTCTACTGCCATTAGCATATCAGTAGGGGACTAAAGTGATAATGTGACATGTAAAAAAAGGTATATTCTAGACATGCACAGTTCATGCGATCATCTCATGAATTCTAGTTGTGTTACAATACAAACCATGTCCACACAATACAAGCTGAGAATTAGTTGCATGAGACAAACTTTTGTTAAAAATCTACTTGTGCAATTAAGATTTTTTTTTTCACTAGTTAACGCTAATTACATTCTTATTTTCATGAAATGATCTCAAAAGTGGAACTCCAGCTTAATGTTCTAATATTGGGTGGATCCCCTACTGGGGTTTTATTTCTGCATATGACTCCAGAGAGAAATCTCCCTGTCAGAGTCAGACACCAGTAAAGAGAAAAGTGTTCCCATTGTATTGGGGGAAAAAATAATGGCAGAGTTCTACTTTAATACAGCATTTCCATTACAGGTCAACACACACAACTGATGCAAGTGAATAATACTTAGAGAACATCAAGTGGTCTCACCTCGTCTACTTTGCACTGAAGTTGCAAGGAAGCAAAAAAGACAGCAAGATGTATTAGAGGAAAAAAAAAAAAAAAAGACAATTACAGGACAGACTGACTGCAATAAGAAATAGGAACAGGCAAAAATTTTAAGGAACAAATTTTAGGAAACAGAAGAAAAGTTACCAAACCACAATAAAAAATGCTTAGTTGTACGGATATCAGAAAAGGTGAGAAGGTTTGTCAGGGTAGAGGGCTCTTCCACATAGAGTAGTCAGCTCGGATGAGCAGAGGATGTGCAAGTAGGTCCCCTGCTTATCGGAGCTGAGTAGGATGGATGTCACATCCATGCCGGTTCAATTTATGCAGAGCAGACAAATCGGCATACCTGAGCTCTATAGGCAGCTGGTGTAAATGGACTCTGTTGTCCATTTACATCAGGCTACCTTCGAACCAGTCTGCCTGGACCTGTTCAGAACTGGGGGTAAGCAGGTGTAAAATAGGAACAAGTCCATTTACACCCACTTGTCCATAGGGCTTCAATGACCTTCTGACCAGGTCCACCTAAACAAAACAAAACAAAACAAAAAAAAAAAAAAAAAACTCTTTTCTCCAAGTCTTACTTTCTCATTCTGGTTGCACACAGTGAAATGGACCTGTATCAAAAGCACTGCCTCCCATCCAGCGCCTTAAAATTGAATGCATCTTTAAAACGCAAACTTTACGCAGACTGATAAGAGTACAATTCAGAAATAGTTTTTTTTTTTTTTTAATGGATAGATAAAAAAAAAAATTTGAATGAAGGTAAAAAACAAATCTGTGTGTAGCAGTACCCCTAGAATACTTACCGGAGCCCCATCACAATCCATCGATGTGCATGACAGTCTCGGCTATCCCAGGTCTCTGTCTCATTGGATGAGAAAGCAAGTGGGAGTCAATCACAGCCAGTCAGCCAATGAGAGAGAGGGGTGGGGCCAAGCCACAGCTCTGTGTGTGAATGGACACACGGAGCAATGGCATGGGAACACGCCTGCTGAGGTGCCCCCATAGCAAGCTGCTTGCTATGGGGGCACCCAAAAGAAAGGAGGAGGAGCCAGAAGCGCCAGCAGGGGACCTAAGAAGAGGATCCAGGCTGCACTATGCAAAACCACTGCACGAAGCAGGCAAGTATAACATGTTTATTATTTCACAAAAAAAAAAAAAAAAAAAAAAAAAAAAAAATTAACCTTTAGTATCACTTTAAAAACCGTAGCACAATAAAGATGTCCCCTGATAAATGGATAATTACATACTACTGATGAATCTGGTTGTTAATCACACTGATGGGTTTATAATAAGGTCATCTTCTTATGCCATAGGATTCAGCATCAAATCTGATTGCATGACCTCAATAGAACTGGAGGAACAGAGATCAGAGTTGCAGATTGGCTGTATAATCAGTTCCCAAAGCCCTTCCTGCAGAGATTACAGGGCCAATGCCATTTAGTAATTTGATCAGCAGGGAACATGAAGCAATCTTTTCTACAAAAAAGGCAAGTACTGTATTTCCTATAGTGATTCTATGCAACACTTTGTGAGAGCCAAATTGATGGTTTTTGGTATAGGTCACTCTAAAGCCTATATATCACCATTATGAAAACTAGATGACTAAAACAGACCCTTTACTCCGCTCTACCTACGAAGTAAAAATCACACCTATAAGCTCTTGCAATTTTTTTTGACAAGTGTCCCAGAGAATTTTACTAATGGAAGACTGAAAACTTGGGGGCGGGGGATTTACAACAAGAAAAAAAAACAAACCCTGTCATCAACAGTGCTTAAAGTATTAAAAATGACAAACCAGCCAAACACCATACATTAGCAAAATGTCACATAGGTGACCATCTACAAAGGCTCGTGCTCTAATGTAAATAATGTAATGGGGCAGCCAACAATCTAAATACTTACTGATCTGGCTCAAAGTCTCAGGAGGAATCCAGCTCATATCAACATCATTTTGGTTCGATGTACCCATTTCCACTTTCTGGGCTGGCCTTTTTCTCTACAGAAACCAAAAATATGCATTAGATACCAATATGCATGCCGAATACAGCATAAGGCCTTATTCACATGACCAATTTTACTTCAGTGACTAGCCTTTGAAACAGCATGACAGCCTTTCAACCCAGAACTTGCACCTTAGCAGAGGGTGTTGAAGCTTGATACACGATTTTGAAGCCTCTTTGCATGTGTACACGTTTTTGAAGAGTTTTGCAAGCACTTATACACATGTATCAAGCTTCAGGTGTTTCCTTGGGCTTGGCAAAGGGAGGAGATCAGCTCTCATCAAGCACAAAAACAGTGCCCCTACTGAGGTCTATGTGACCAAAAATGCCCAATTGTGCTAAAATACATAAACAAACTTACGTACTTAGCCCAATATTCACTAAAGCAAATGGCTGATCCACTTGCTTTTATTACTAAAGCCACTATAAAAACATGTTTTGTCTGATGCAGAGGTACACTTTACTTGAATAGCAATATACAGTAAATGAATGCAAATCAGGCTTGGGCCAGTAGGGCCTCATCCACACTGGCCCTGACAAACCCATTTTTAGAAGAGGTTTCTAAAAATCACACACACATTATAAAATATGTAATGATTTTTCAATTGTGCCATTCACACTTGCATTTAGAGAAACAGAATCTGTGCATCCAGGATCCGATTAGAGACTCTAAAGATGCAGGTTATAGCAGTGAATATCTAGTCAACTGATAAGCAGATTTTTCTAAAACATTGAATTGTTTAGACCACAAAAAAAGTCACCTCTTATAAAAATACCTTAGTAACTTTTTTTTTTTTTTTTTTTAATCAGGAGGACCAGCAAGTGCCAAGTAAGAGGAAAATGGGAATGTCCAACTGAGCAAAATCCTTTTAATACTATGGAGGTATACAGTAATACTCAGACACATGACATGTAAAACAACAAGCATATACCTTTCTGGACTCCAGGAGTTGATGCAGACCAACAATCACAAGTAAGCCAAGGCCACCAAGGAACAAGTACATGAAGATTCTGAAGGAGAAAGGTTAACTAAATGTTAAGAGGCAAAAAAAAAAACCACCACCTCACACACAAAACACACTTTCATCCTAACCAAACAGTTTCCTTACTGCCTGCTAAGGACATTTATGCCAACTCTGAGATGATCAGTCAGGACATCAATATATGCAGACAGTTGGGGCATTTATCCATCTATCTCACATACACAAAGAACAAACATCAGACTACAATCAACAAAGCGTCTGTATAAACTCACGTCTCTCCATCCAGGCCATCTTCTCTCTCAATAATGGTGACAGTCTGATTAAACACAGCATCTTGGAATGCATTTCCCTGGAAGAAGAAATACATATCGCAATATAATTCTCAAAATTTAGCTTCTCAAATTCCTGAATATTTAAACTTCTTAATAGTAAGGACATCTTGGCACTGTATGATTTTAGAGCAGGACACTTTTGGCACCAGTAAGTGTCCAGAGACAGAAGTTACAGAAACTGGTTGCTATGTGTACCCTGGAGGAATAACCTGGGTTTTGGGGCTTCCAGGGAACTCTATAGATATTTGCAGGCAATATACAAGCACCTACAGTAGCCTGTTATAGAATGGAAGTGCAGCTTTCCTTTTTTTGTTTTTTAAAAAGGAGTGCATTTTACTGTTCCTTCTTAATGCAAGGCTATGGTAATGCTGATGAAAAGAAAATAATGCAATATCTCAGTGAAAGTGCAATTGTAGTCTCTAATCTACAAAATTAAAATGATTGTAAAAAGGATAAATGTTTATATTAAAAACACAAGTCATACTTGCCTGCTTTTTACAATGGTTTTGCAAACAGCAGACCTTATCCTCCTCTTCTCGGGTCCCCCTGCCAGTTCTTCTGGCTCCCCCCCCCCTACGGAGTGCCCCCATTGCAAGCTGCTTGCTATGGAGGAACTCATACGGCTCAACGACGAGCCGCACTGTGTCCATTCGCACACAGAGCGTGACTCAGCCCCACCCCCCACTTTCTGGCTCTGATGGACAACAGCTGGAGTGGATTCAGCAGAGTGGGAGGATGTCAGGACCGTGTCCGCTCTGTTAAAGCAGAGGGGGAGGGGAATTGCACACAGGTCTTATTACATTAATGCAGAGAATGCACAAAGGTAAAAAAAAAAAAAAAAAAAAGTTGAAAAAAACATTTATACCTCTACAATCATTTTAAAAATTTAGCAATGCAAGAACAAGCAGGAAAGTGGTAAAAAGTTACGGTGATCACTGTAATAAGTTCAATGAAAGAACACCAAAATTTCCTTTAATGTCTATAGGTATATTTTAAATGTGGAATACCACTTGCCTGCAAAGCCTATTCAGACACTCATCACATAAATGTAAAAAAAGTTCAGCACTCTATTAGAAGAGACACACACACACACACACACACACACACACACACGAGGCTCTGGAGAATAAAATGGTGGGAGTTACACTTTTTAGGTCACGTGGTATTTACAGTTTTCAAATCCAATTTTCTGGGGTGTGGAAATGCACAAATTTGTTTTCCACACATGAAAAATTATATTCTATTTTACCAATTATATAAGATTGTATTTTAGGCAAATGAATAGTCAACCAAACGCCTTACATGTACAGGAACAATGAGAATGTTCCTGCTTAACACAAATGTCAACATGACATTGACAACACTGTGGCACTTGCTTAAATATCAGGAATCTTACATTGGCATCCTTATAGTTCAAATTGATAACCAGCCCAAAGGGACGACCACCCATTGGCTCTGCAGGAATGAAGGAATATTCAAAGGTAGCTTGTCTTTGAGGAGGAACAAGTGTGTTTAACGGCAAAGCAGTGAAATTCTGTATATAAAACTGGTAATCTTGAGGGTAACGGAAAGAGGCATCCAGTGATTCAACAACGAAGTCTTCAGTACCCTTATTTGTGAAGCCTACCAAGAACTTCACAATGTCATTAGCAGGGAAGTCTGGGGAAAAAAAAAAAAAAAAGAATTATGTAAAATTATACAAAATATTTTCCAGCAACTTTTCTTTAAGTGAGCATATGCATTTTAGACACGGGAAAATTCTGTCTGTAAAAAATGTAGTAGTTTTATCCACCACAAGCACCTATATACCCCTTTTGCACCCAGAATAAAACTTACATTTTAGCCATGTATGAAGCCTACCGATTCTGCAAAAACTTGGTCATTACTTGAAAAACTCATAACACTCATTGAGACGCTACACAGATCATTGTGGTAGGGCAGGGGGACAAGGGCATACAACTGGGGTCAGTAACCAATAGATCATGGCCAGGTGACTGTAGACCACAGTCTGGGCTTACTGACCCGCCATCCCAGAGCATCAGTGTGCAATTCAGAGGGACTACTTGTAAAGTTGGAGCTGTAGAAGGCAGCAAGAGCCACATAAGCCAATGCCTCCTTGTAGTGTTGGCTCCTGTCCCATGCGGAGTGGTACCAACTGAAGTCCACCTCTTATCCCGGCTAGCGGTCTCTAGTGGTGCCAGCAGCAGGAAAGAGGAGATCTTCAGGTCAGTGTGAAGCAATACACAAAGCATAATAGTATAGGCCTGCTTTCACACTGATGAGCTTGGGTTTACCCACACCACGGGTGCAGTGTACCTGCACGTTTTTTTGTCCATAGACTTCTATTCTATCCTGCACGTTAGGTTCACTTTCTGAAACTGGAGTTTTGGTGCGCTTTCAGAAATCAGGATATCATAGAAGTCTAAGGCAAAGCACGGCTAACTCAGAAAAGTCACAGGTGCACTGCACCCACGCTGCAGGTAAACTACAGCACATCAGTGTGAAAGCAGCCTTACAGGTAGCTCAGAAAAGTAAGAGTTAATTTACATTTGCAGTTGGGGGAGGGGGGAAAAAAAAACCTCATAGTTAAGTCATGTTTTTACCATCCCTGCCCCAAATGCACCCCCCTTTAGCTGCAGAGGCCAGGGGTGTAAACCACACACTGGGCTTTACCACTCCCCAACTTTGTGTGAATAAGCTCTAAGGGTGACACTGCTGAATGCAACTGAGGGTTCATTCACAAGTGCAGCAGGCACTGCTGCTCCTCTGAAAAGCAATCCAAGTGCATTTGATAGGTGGTGAGGAGGCGATATATTGCCTTCTCACCACCTGTTTTAAACCCATGATTACCATGCAATGCATGCGATTGCGACACAGTAGCACGGCAATTAGAGGTTTAAATCAGGTGTAAGGAGGCGACACTGTCCGGTGATCTTTGACTTCTCCAATGTCGTTCAGATACCCCTGGCGTACAAGGTATGTCCAAAAGGTATTAAGATGCTGTTTTTAGGGCACACCTCTTGTCTGTCAAATCCAGTATGACAGCTTGCATGTCCCCAAAGCAATCCTTTTATCCCAGTGTTTACAGAAACTGCTGCTAAACATGAAGTATTCAGCTTCTAAAACAACTCAAAAAAGTGTATAGTGTGGCTCTAAGCTCTACCCTCCGAAATCTACTTGCTTGCTGCTTTGAGCCATGTCTGTCCTTATACAGGGACCTATAGAGCTGCCGGTGCATGCATGCAGGCATCTACATAAGCCCATAGAAAAGACAGCTGGGAGGCAAGCCATTGCCCTGCTCCCCCCTTGCACTGCCCTCTCATTCATGCATATAACATACAAAAAGGCACCAGCTCCCTTTAAAACAGAAGTTCAGGAAAGCGGCACTCCACATTCAAAACCTGTGGTAGAGACTAGGGACTAAAGGTGTTTGGCACACCGTTTTTGTTTTTTTTAACATTATTGCCGAAAGTACATTAGGGTAACATTGCTAAGTTTTTAGTAATAATTTAAGGGTCCATTCAAACCTCTCCATCCTGGTACACTGCAATAATGAGCTTTAAGTTGCACATTAACCAGTTACCTACTGGGCCAATCCTTAAATGTATCTCATACATGTAAAAAAACTGCTTTTTTTTCCAGAAAATTACTTAGAACCCCCAAATATATATTTTTTAACACCTTCCCACCCAGCCTATAGCAGATTGACAGCCGGGCGGGACACTCACCGTTGTGACTGGGAGTCATATGACGCCCTGTCAAAACAAGCTACTCACATGGCCGCACGATCTGTCCGCAGGACACAGCTGATGACATATCACCACACCGGCCCCTTGCCAGTGTCATGTGACCGCTGTGACCAATCACAGCAAATCACATGTCAATTGTATACAATGGATGGCTTCCTGTCATGCCATCCATTGTATACAATTATGTTGTTAGCTGTGACTGGTCAAGGCAGTCACATGATACAGACAGGGCCAATCACAGCCATCTGTATCATGTGGTCAGCTTTGCTGAATCACAGCTAATCACAACAAAAAAGACTGAATGAATCAGTTTCATTCAGTAACAACGATTGCAAATATCAATGAAATACATTGGTATTAGCAATCATAATGTGCTAAAATAATAAATCCCGATTACTTGCCCAGAGTAGTTCAATGTTACTATGGTAACATTGTATTGCTTTGGTCACAGTGTGCTGAAAAATAAAACCGTAAAAAAAAAAAAAGTAATAAAAATAAAAATAAATCGAACCATTTAGAACAAAAAAAAAAAAAAATACAAATGCAATTATTTTCAAAGAAATGTAGCAGAACATATTTTGACCTAAATTTATGAAGAAATTTTATTTGCAAAATTTTATAGCCGAAAAGAAGAAAAAGTGCGCTTTTTTTTCAAACGTTTCAGGTGTTTTATTTAGCAAAATATAAAATAACTCAGGGGTGATTAAATACCACCAAAAGAAAGCTGTATTTCAAATTTCAGTGTTTTTGGTTTGATTATATTATTGAATTAAATATATTATAATATTTTTTATGATTATTTATTAAATTATAATTTATGATTTCGTGTTTCAAGTTTTATCATACCCGGGATGTTTAATAGACTCTTGTTCCAACAGATTTCAGTGAGCTTTCCTAAAAATTACAGCCTACAATAAAAAACTGCATATTTCCATGCAAAAAAAAAATGGTATGGTACCGCTTTCAGCACAAAAAAAAAAAAAAAAAAAAAAAAAAAAAAAAAAAAAAAAAAAAAAAAAAAAAAAAAAAATGGAAATAATCATACCGCCAGGGAGGTTAATGAACAGATGTTGAGTACTTGTAATGACTACCAAAGGAAATTTTAGAAAATATGGGGGCCGTGGTTGCAATATGCCCTTCCCACGCTCCCCCCCCGACTAGTCTGGGGTTGTGATGTTGCTTGGTACTGGCGTTCCCGAACCCCTGCTCATGGTTTTATCATCTTTTTCCTTTTATACTCCTCCCTTTTCTATTTCTGTTTGTTTTTATACCAATGTTTTTGTCATTTATGTGCCATTGATAGCCCCTGCGTGGTCGCACCTTTTGCTCTGTTGGTGTTACAGCACTGTATTTTTTTTTATGTGCAACCGATGGCCTCTGCGTGGGCATGTCTTGTTGCTTCTGTTTTTTTTTTTTGTTTTTTTTGTTTTTTTAAATATGTTTATAAACTAATAAAAATCATTGAAATACAAAAATGGTAACCTCCAGATATTTAGAATAAATTGCTTATTTTATAGTTGTGTACACAAGTGAAGCCCCTTTCTTTGTTCTACTGGTCCTATGCTTTTAAAAAATGTATAATTTTGGGGGGTTGTCTTTAACAAACTCTGAAAGCTGCAATTGAAAAATAAACAATGGAAACATTCTGAAAATGGTCTGGCCATTTGAGTTAAAGGCCTCTTTCAGATGGGGCGGACCCGCCAGCAGATCTCTCCGGCGATCCCTGCTGAGCAAGCAGATGACAGGTCTGTTTCCTCTCCGCTGCTACAGAGCAGACACAGCCTGCTTTTTCCTACAGGGCGGTCGGATAGAAATGGACTGCCTGTCTGTTTCCACCTAATGGTCATCCTATCCGTTCCACCGGACAGATGGGGGAAGAGATCCCTATCAGTCTGTTTTTGGTGTACAGAATCGGATCAAATCCCCCCCGAACACATAGCCATTGGCTGCAAGCACTGAGCAAATGATTTTCCAGCAATTCCCTATGACAGAAGCTGGTCCTTAGACCAGCTTCTGTCGGAAGGACAGCTGAGCACATGGTCCGAATGTGGGCTGGTTCCTGCTGAATCAGATGATATTCAGACCATGTCTACCCAGCTTAAGGAAGATGATCCAAGGACACACAATGATGATCTTCAGATCATTTCACAGGAACCATTTCATACACAAAAGTGGTAGAGAATTAAATTACCTTCTCCTTTAACAAACAAAATAGTGGTGTCGGCATTGGGAGAGGCTTTCGGTTCACCAGAACTCAAATCTTCTTCTTCCTCTTTTTCTTCTGTCTGGGGTTCCACAACAAAACAACACGAATCAGAAAATGTTACAGTATTTTGGGTAAGACTACTTCTCTAACAGATTCATAAAAGGCCAATACCAATATTGATACATTTACCTTTTTAAAAGGGCTAACAGCATGATTCTATTCACAAAAACCACTGCTGCCATCAGTCTGTCCATACTTGGACCATATATAGGATCAAAAGACTTAAGTCAGCCATACATGGATCAAAATTTGGATGGTTCAGCAGGGACTGGTTGAGATTCAATCCATCAATCAACTTGGGTACAACTAAACTGTTGGATTTTGTTTTTTTTTTTTTTTTTTTTTTTTTTTAAACACACATTCAATTACTGCCGGCAGCTAGAGCCGCTAGCAGTAATCACCGTGTTATGCCAGCCAGGAAGGCTCCCCCAAACAAATCCCATCCTAACAGAAATACTACCTAAATATGTGACAGACAATTTGCTTTACCCACCTGCCTTCTCATCTGAACCTTATCCTACCTCAATCCCTTTACCCAACTCCCACCACTTAAACCCCTAACCCTTCTTGGGTCCCCCACCGGTGCTCTTGGCTTCCTCCCCTTTCTATGGGGCACTCATGCAGGCTCGCTCCTGAGCCTTGCTGTGTATTGACAGATAGCAGAACACTGACCCATGCCCTGTCACTGGCTTTGACTGACAGCAGCAGGGGCGAATGGTTCCTGCTGCCTCAGCAAAGCAAGTGAAACCAGGGATTGAGGGTACGTACATAGCAATGGATCGAATGAGAGCTCAGGTAAGTAAAAAAGGTGGGGGTTACGGATGCCCAAACATTCACAGGCCAGTAGATAAAAGTGCTAAGGGCAGTGCTGGAGAACAGCATGTTTACACAGTATTTACAATTACATCACACAAGTCTACCACTATAGCAGAGTGCCTAGCACATACCACAGGCACACTCATTTGTACCCTTACTTGTTCTCCACACACTCTCTTTGCATCTTCCAACACTCTCAATGTCCTCCACTAATCTCCAACAACATGGTTCTGTAATTAGCATAATCTGCAACTTTAATCGAAAAAAAACTTGGTGAACTCCATTCATCAGATGTTGGACAGATCTCAAAAGTGCAACTAGTGCAGAATAGGAGGCCAAACTTTTAAGCCATACCGCTCTTTTGGGTCACAGGAGTACATTTACCAAGGTTTCCTTTAACACACTGTCTACTGTCAGTGGGTTACTAGCCATCAGCAGACAGGACAAAGCCACACCAAGTTCAGGACAGGTCCCAACAGCCCAACTGACAGCTGGCACTACCTTTCAGGGCATGGCTGAGAGGAGCCAGCAGCACTGGCTCCCCCCTTATCTTGGCACTGGACAGCAGAATGGAAAGCAATGACAGTCACTGTTCTCCAGCTGACCGAGCTCTAACTGATCAGCAGACAGGTCGCTCAGCTCTTTGTCTCAGAGGCGGTGGGGGGGACTGCTGCAGTGTCACACGGATACCACAGCATGAAGAGAAGTATGTATGTTTTCATACTAATCCCCCAATTCTCTTTTACAGTGGTTCTAAACCTCAGATGGGAAATATGAACAAAGCATGTCACTCTGTAGTGTGTATTTGTCTCAACTAAGAGCACCAAGTGTCATTTCTATCTGCTGCTCTGTTCCTCTGCTATCATCACTTCTGACAAGTTTTCCTAACATCAAGGGAAAATGGTGATGGGGAGGAACCTCCTGCTGACTGACAGACTCATCTGTTCTTGTGTGAAAATGTAGTGTGGGGAAAAAAAAAAAAAAAAAAAAAAAAAAAAAAAAAAGGCTCCTCTTCCGACTATGGCCCCCCGCCATCTGCCTGCTCCGGTGGTTTGACGGTTCTTAAATATGTAAGGGGTCGGGGCCATCCGGGTACATCACGTGTGACCCCACCCCAAGTGACATCAATGAGGGTTGTGGGGAAGAGGCTCTTATCCCCATAAACATGGGGTCAAGGTGCTTTGGGTGTTGAGGGCATGTGGCCTGGTATGGTTCAGAAGGGGGAACTCACTCGCGCCTCCCCCCCCTTTACTACCTGCAGGGCTGCATACTCGGATAAGGGTCTGGTATGGATTTGGGGGGGGGACACCATGCCATTTTTTTCCCTCTAAATTTGGCCGTTGGAGTTCCCCTCAATATCCATACCAAACCTGAAAAGCTTGGTATGGATGGGAGGGGGGACCCCACGCCATTTCTGAAATTATCTCTTAATAATTCTTTGCATTCAGCTGTCAGTGGGGCAGCTGAAACCTTAACACGTTTGTCATTACCAAAATACCGCATGACTTGATAAAATACCTCATGCGGTATTTTAGTAAGGTTTTACTTTTTTCTGGAACGGATTAATTGGTTTTCAACGCATTCCTATGGGAAATGGCATTTCGGTTTACAAATTTTTCGCTATATGAAAAGTCCCGCAGAACAAATTAAATTAAATAAACAGAGGTATGCCTGTACATTTTGGCCTAAATTTATGAAAAAATTTGATTTAAAATTTGTTTACTGGATAGGTTTTATGGTAAAAAATAATTGTTTTGTTTTTCAAAACTGTTGGTCTTTTTCTGTTTATATAAAAAAAAACAAAAAAAAAAAAAAAAAAAAAAAAAACACACACACAACAAACGAACATGTGATCAAATACCACTGAAAGAAAGCTCTATTTGTGGGAAAAACGGACATAAATTTCATTTATGTATAGTGTTGCATGACTGCGCAATTGTCAGTTAAGTAACACAGCACCTCGAAAAAATGGCCTGGTTAGGAAGGGGGGGGTAAATCCTCTGGAGGGCAAGGGGTTAAGGAACAAAATTGGGAGAAGATGCATTAGGGCTATAAAATATAAAAATAATGAAATATTAGAATGCAGTATATAACCTAACTGAACTAAAGATAAAAAAAAAAAAAAAAAAATTTTGCAAAGTTATTCTGCAAATGTACATCACATTAGATGTGGCACAAAAGTATGCCATTAAAAATTACCAAATCTGTTGTTTCATCTTCTTCTACTTCAGCCTCGTCATCATCGTCTTCAACTACAGAGTCATCAAGGGCTTCTTCATCTTCTGTTGCATCTTGAGCAGCAGCAAAAGGTCCTGGGCAGGGTTATAAAGGCAGAATTTACGCAAGACTTAATATATTAAACAAGTCAATAAAATAGAGTGTTTACCAAACAAAGGTGTGAGTAGTCCTACAAAATATACAAACTGGAAAGTGACTGTAAGCTGAAAAGCGATTATAGAGAAGAAATAATTTGCCAGGAAACTTCCAAGAAATACACCACCTCGATAAGACTTACAAAAGATTTACCCTGTGCACACTATGTACTATTTGAAGGACATCCAAGAAAGTCAAAAATAAACTTTCTAGCTCATGCCAACTAGAGATACGCTGCGCATGATAACTTCACTCTGGGATTAAAAAAAAAAAAAAAAAAAAAAAAAAACCACACACTAAGCTCACACCTGGGACTGTCTTTATCTCATGCAGATGTTGTGATAGTAGCAAAAAACAAAGCAGTTTGGGAAACATTACTAAAGGCTTCTAAGGACAAATGTCCATGCTCTGCCTGCTATACTTTTCCTTGCACCAGTCTCCAAGACCTACAGTTGTCTCAGCAATATGATGTAGTTACAGCTCAGATGTCCACAAAAAATGAGCGGTTGGTGTGATCAAGGACAGGTTTAGACAGCAGTATCTTGAAAATAGAAATAAAACCTGGACCAATCTTGGATCTTTTGTCAACATGGCCACTAAATGAAAATGGGCAAAGATCAAATAAAAATGTAGTCTAAGTTCTTTACTCATCCATTCTACCCTATTTGATTTTAGTGATCATGTGAGAATGGATCATATTGCTGTGCAATGTGTACTACACAGAACAAGGGCTGAAGTACAATAATCACCAAGGGACCAGATATACAACACCCTATCAGCAAAGCAGACACCAAAGTGGGCAAGTATTATCCCTTTCCAAGGAGATCTTTTACAGGGCTATTAAAAAAAGGGACTGAATAAGATGAAGAAATGTCTGCAAAACATTTTTTAAAGTGAGCTCTTTAAAGTAATATTAAAAGGATAATTTTTTTTTTTTAAGTAACAAACATGAAATAGTTCCCACACCTGCTATGTGCAATGGAATTGCATGAAGCAGCCCCAATCCTCTAATTCTTGGGTCCTCCGCTGGCACGCCTGGCTCCTCTCTCTTGACCAGTGCCCCCAATAGCAAGCTGCCTGCTATGGGGGGCACTACTGCAAGCTCGCTCCCAAGCCCTGCTCTATGCGTCCATAAGACACATAGAACCATGGTTCAGCTCACCCCTGAGCTCTCCTCATTGGCTCACTGGCTGTGATTGAAAGCAGTGGGAGACCCGGGACAGCCGAGGCCCCCGTGCACATCACTGGATCGAGAGGGATTTTGGAGGGAGCTGCGCGCAGGTTTTTTTTTTTTAACCTAGAAAAAAGTAGAATTCAAGCCCAACACTAACTATTCTTAAGAACGCCTGCCCCCCCCCCCCCCCCCTTTCCTACCCACCTTGCCTACACTGTGTAAAAAATGTATATACTTCTTTTTTTAATTTGCTTTAAGCTGTTAACGTGATTCTGTAGCTCCGGTTCCCATGTATCAGTGAATGGCAGCTGCAGGGGAGAGGAGGAAGCACCCACAATTGGGCCACGGGAGCCCTTGCAGTTGCCACTCAGACACAGGGGAGCCAGAGCTGCAGGATCATATGACCAAAAGTTGTTAGGTTTGAATTCAACTATAAGATAAGGTATAAAGCTCATGAACACGGCAATATGATTGTAAGTAGGATCTTGTTAGCGTCAAGATCCCATGTAAAACCTTGTCCATACACTACACATTTAACGGGGCAACTAAATGCGCATAGTGCAAATGAGGAAAGCAGGGAGCTCCGCTGAATGCTGTTCCAGATTACACAACTGTTCACAGCTGTCTACATGAGCAGAACATACAGCTGCAGTTAGATTTGTATTTTTATTTGTATTAAAAAATAATAATGGCACTACACATTACGACTCCGAATGTAGCAGATTTTGAACCCATGGGCATCAGCCCCAACTAAAAGGCGAAACAATTTTTTTAGCATGGCAAGAGGATTAGAGCCATTGTGAAGTTTATATTACTGTCTATGGCATTTTTGTGTGGGCTTTGAAGACACAGGTGAACCATGCGGTCTGTCCAGTTCACCCCGAGGCACATAATACCCTAAACATTGGTACCGCTTTGTGCGCTGTCCAGCAGCAGCTTTCAGCCTCCTCAAGCTTTCCAGGCTATAGCAGGATGCACATGTGCCTTCTACCCACATAACACCAAAATCTCATGCCCAAGGGCTAATTGGAAAGCATGCATGAGGCCTTAAATGTTTGGGCATAGTTTCCACATAATGTATACATATGATCTGAATCAAGTTAGAATATCTCATTACAGAGCAGCCATTCTCAGTCAGGGTTCCATCACATCACTTTATATTTATGGAGTCAATGTCACTTGGCAGAGTCAGTGAAGCTGGGTACACGCTGATCAAAAAAAAAAAAAAAAAAAAGCCAGTTCAGCAGGACCAGGCTAAACGTCGGTCAGTGTGCACAGCTGTCTGTCCAACAGAAACCAGTCTAATGACCAGCTTTTGTCAAAGAGACATGAAGGCAAACCAGCATCTGATCAGCACTTGCAGCCGCCCTGTCAGAATACAAAGACACCGCAGGAGAGATCACAGCATCAACATCACTTGTGTCAATGCAACAATCAGCCTGGGTTTTTTCTCCCCCCCCCTCCCCATTTCGTTCAACCTGCTGATTGAAAAGAAATAAAATGAGATTATATATAAACACACACACACACACTGTGTATACCTAGCTTTAGCGTGACACCAATGATCTTCTCAGATGTCTATGATGGAGGCAATCTGATCACCACTATAGGGCCTCGTTCACACAAGCTGTGCTCTGTGAAAAGTGATCCGAATGCAGATCACTCTTCAGAAAACATTTGACAGGCAGGGAGGAGGCCTGTATTGACTCCAGATTGCCTGCTTTAACCCCTAAACCTCACACTGGCACACAGCTGGGCAAGGTACTTGCAAGTGGCTCATTCACTGAAAGGTCACATATGGAGAGTGCCATGGTGATCACAAGCAGCAGGGGGTACAATTCCTGCCAGGCATGTAGAGCGTGTACTCCTCCAGACCATTGCAGCTGAAGGGAATAGCGGGAAGGTGGGGGTGGCAAAGGGGGGTGATAAAAGCACAGGGTTTTACCACCTGTCAACAGCTAGTGTGAATGAACCCCAAGGAGCCATCTTCCTATTGGCTACTACTGAATGAATGGGTTCTTACAAGGGGCCAAGCATCATTTGAGGGTTCCCCCTGGGGTGAAAAGGCTATTCTATAGTAAATGGCTTCCTTCCCAGTACAGGGTCTCTTAGGAAAAGCCCCATCTCCACAGGAAAGGTCCAGGCCACAGCCATCAATCAGTGCCATGCCTGCTTGTGTACAAGGAGGAGCCATAGAATGAATGAGCAGCACACGCAGAATGACACGTCAGCCATAGGCCTGATATATACACCGCACTCTGCGCTCCAGCAGGAAGCCTGCTATGACTGGACTGACACAGGAGAAAGTAGCCGAGCCCAGAGCGGAGCTCACACACCACACCGGACAGGCACAGCATACGTCACATACACACGGCCAGGAAGCGCCCTCACCTCTACCATTGCCGAGCAATGTGACCGGGAAGGCCAGCAGCAACAAGACAAGCAGGTTGCGGAGCAGAATCATGTCGGTATGCGGTCACTGCCAGTCGAGTCAGAAAGAACCTAGAGGGGGGGGGGGACGGTCTGTGTCTCGCCGCCTCCCGTACAAGTAGCAAGACCCCAGTCAATGGCGACGTGATACGTATCCTCCAGAAATGGGAGGGGCTGGGAGTGGCCAGGTAGAAGCTCCGCACTGGAGCCGCCCCTTCCGGGTGCTGAGGGGAAGCGGACGTGGCTGTCCCGGCTGGCTGGGTTGAGGAGGCGGAGTCCCTCAGTCATTGACAAATGACTGACATAAGCACTAGCCAATGAGGAGTAGCCGAATCTTGTATAGAGGAGGCACCATAGCAGTCTGTGTTACTTGGTGTTCTCATTTACGAAGGGGCCTTTCGCCAGCCTTGTTTGCAGTCATTGCATTGCGAACAGAATTTGCTGAAGTAGCTGGTCTGTAGTGTACGGCAAGGTTCTGCTTATGGCTCCAGGCCTCCGTACCTGTTCCAAAAGAACACATTATAGCTGAAAGAAAAACACAAAGTTGTTCAACATATTTGCAGGAGGGGTCAGCAGGACAGAGGATGACAGGTCAGCAGGGGAGCATACAAGAGTTAATAGGGCAGGATACAGGGGGTCAATAGGGCAGAGAATAGGGGTCAGCAGGGCACAGGACAGGTGACGGGGGTCCGCTGGGTTGAGAGCAGGGTTTCAGGACAGAAAATGGGTCAGTAGGGCAGAGGACAGAGGGTCAGCAATGTGGAGAACGGTCACAAGGGCAGAGGACAAGGATCAGCATGGCAGAAGGATAAGGGTCGGCAGGGCACTGTACAGGGGTCAGTATGGCAGTGTGCAGGGGTCAGTATGGCACTGTGCAGGGGTCAGTATGGCACTGTGCAGGGGTCAGTATGGCACTGTGCAGGGGTCAGTATGGCAGTAGTATGGCACTGTGCAGGGGTCAGTATGGCAGTGTGCAGGGGTCAGTATGGCACTGTGCAGGGGTCAGTATGGCACTGTACAGGGGTCAGTATGGCACTGTACAGGGGTCAGTATGGCAGTGTGCAGGGGTCAGTATGGCACTGTACAGGGGTCAGTATGGCAGTGTGCAGGGGTCAGCAGAGTAGGATACAAGGGTAAGCAGAGCAAGGTACAGGGGGTCAAATCCCCCCAACCAGTTCCCCATCTTAGCCAAAATTCCAAGACCTCTCCTAGCACATATTCCCCCCATTTCTCTTCTTAGCACAAATCTGCCCCTCCCCACCCAAATTACCCTTCCAAGCACAGATAATCCACCTCATCTCCCCTCTTCCACAAACCTCTCATTCTAAGCACAAAAGATTTAAACCCCATTGTGTTCTTGGCTGTGCACTGCCCCTCCTGTCATAGCAGCACTCCTAGCTGCTGTGGCAGGCCGCACATAGCCTACATTGTACTACTATGGTGACCATTAACCTAGTTTCTTACAATGTACGAGGGTTAAATATTCCAGGTAAGAGACTCCAAATTTACTGAGAAGTAAAACTCATCTGACATTAGTGATGGGCTGCATGTTCGAGTGGAACATAAGTTCGACTCCAACATAGGCCATTTGTGTGTTAGTTGAACACACTAACGTACGAGCGTTTGGCGGGCTGTTCATCCACCGCGCCCCACAATGCATTGCACCATGACAGTGCATTGTGATTGCCTAAAGCATTGCACCTGCTTTGGCCAATCACAAGTCATGATAACATCACAAGGGGCAGGGGTGATCCCACCCCTTGTGACGTAATCACCCTATTTAAGAACAGTCATCGCGGTGCACTTGTCAGACAGCCGGGAACCAGTGTCGAGGGCAGAGCGGATTTTTTTTTTTCCTTTTTTTCGGGTCAGCGGTGGCGGGCATCGTGATTGATGTTGGATCTACTTCGGGGGGGGCCTTTTTTTTAGTTTTTAATAAAAGACTTGTCAAAGACTGTCTCCTGTCTTTTTTTACACTATACTTTTTTTTGTGAATGGGTAGTGGTACCACATACTCATTCACATGGGGGGGGCTGGGATTTGGGGGCTTCCAGATTCCGATAAGCACCCCACCAGCAGACCCCCACAACCACTGGCCATGGTAGTGGGGAAGAGGCCCTTGTCCCCATCAACATAGGGACAATGTGCTTTGTGGGGGGAGCCCCCCTGCCCCAAAGCAGCCTCCCATGTTAAGGGTATGTTTCTAGGTATGGTTCGGGGGGGGGGCGCTCGCTCGTCTCCCCTCTTTTCTGTCCTGCCAGGCTGCATGCTTAGGGTCTGCTATGGTTTTTTGGGGGGACCCCTACGCCATTATTTTAAAAATGTTGGCTTGGGGGTTCCCCTCAAAATCCATACCAGACCCAGAGGGCTTGGTATGGATGGGGCAGGGGGGACCCTCATGCAGCTGATTTTAGTAAGGAAACTAAGCAGTATCTTACCGCATACTCAGGATGCGGTAAAATCCAGCTCAGTAAATTGTCCCTATTCGAAATTCGCAGTCGAACGTATGGATGGGGCGGGGGGGGACCCTATGCCGTTTTTTTTTTTAAATTGTTGGGCAATGCTGACAATTCTTTTGACATTCAGCTGTCAGCAGGAAACCCCCGTTGACAGCTAAAACATGAATGAATGTTTCACTACTAAAAGACTGAATGACTTAATAATTTAACTCATGCAGTATTTTAGTAACTAAGCAGTATCTTGCCGCATACTCAGATGTGGTAAGATCCAGCTCAGTAAATTGTCCCTATTCGAAGTTCGCAGTCGAACGTTCGGTAGCTTCAAATGTTCGACCAAAAACCGAACAGTGGGTGTTCAGCCCATAACTATCTGACATATGCCACTTCCGTAAGGCTTGATTCTCTGTATTACACTGATACACATGGTTAGATCCTTGTTTCTTAAAGGAGTTATAGGAAAAGTACCCTGGCTAATATCTATAGTCCTAATCAAATACAAGCTACTTTCTTGTCAGACGTTTTTGCTAAATTATCTGAATTCACTAAGGTCTTACTGTCTTCCTTGCTATCCTTAAGGGATCCTCAATCCCTTACAAACAACAAAGTTTTAAAAAAAAACACCTGCATAATACCGAACCTATTGGTTATTATACCCTAAGGATCAGGACTATTCCTATTGCTCAGCAACCCACAACTCTTATTTGAGTATAGATGTCATCTTAACAGACAATTGATTTGCCCACAGATGTCATTGGAAGCAAAATGATTCTCTCCTTACAGATCCTGTAGATATAGCCCAGCTGACTATGAATGGAAAACTGATCGAGCTAGGTGCTAGGGAGAAAGAGCATATCCAACAAATAGAACAAGCATGCTTTTTATACTCATTGTGGAATTTAAGGGGTTAATCTTCCAGATTGTGTAAAAAAAGATGTTTAATCCTCTGCTTCTTCCACTGTCCCTAGTCTATCTGCTGATAGAACAGAGCCTTGGGGGCAAACTGCACATGCTCAGTTTGAGTTTGGTGTGTATTGCTAGTTTATTTTTTTTCTTGGGAGAGTGCATGTGATCAGCACAGGGCCAATCAGCACTGTCCAGACAGAGGGTCAGGGGTCCTGCAGCCTCATAGGACAATCAAGTGAGAATGAAAACTCCTCCTATAAGCTTTAACCAGTGCTCTGCTGGAGACTGATAGAAGTCACTAGACTGCTCTACCTGCTGATGAGAAAAAGTATTTAGCAGTTTATATTTACTAAAATAATGGCATTTCCATGTTCTGTGTACAGTGGTTGACCAGATATAGTGAATGCAGGGTCCGGGGGTTTAGTAACACTTTAATCCATCATTTTAGAACAGTTGCTTAACCATTCTTACTTTTCAACCAGGATTCCTTGAACTGTAAAATAACTGACTTTTCATTTGATGGTGCCTGCATAGTTCCAGGTCCAGTGCCACTTGGAAGAGACAGCATCAATGATCTTTTAGCTGTCAGTTTTGATGGCATTATTCCCAGCGATCATTCTTCTAATTGACCCATGTTAAATTATATTTAGCAGAGGTGCCCTGGGATCTACAATCTGCCATAATCCAAATATTTTAATACACAAATACACTGCATATGTGGATTATGTTCTATTTTAAATACAACAACCTCTTATATCACTTCCAAATTTGTTGAGGGCATTAACTTTATTCAGAAATACTCATACTTCAAAATTAATTAAGTTAGACATTCTGAATCTCACACTGCCTGTGTGTGAAGTCCAGATATTTAAACCCCACTTACCATTTATCTGGAAACCGAGAAATTGGAAATATTAAAGATTTATCGCATCCCCCAACAGATTTATTTGCCATCAGTTGCCTACATTTACTAAATCAGATCCATAGGAATCTCCAACATTGGGCTCATCTTCATCATTGGCTTGGCAAAATAAATATGATCAAAATGAATATTCTTCCAAGGGTACTGTTCTTATTCTGAATGATACCAATGGGTGAACCTCCTACACTCTTTAATCAACAAATGTATTTGCACTCACTGGAAACCGGTGATCTCCCAAACTGTATTATCAAGGTCCAAACAGACAGGTGGACAGGCACTGCCTTATTTTAAGGGTTATTACCAAGCAACAGTTTTGACTAGAACTGCTGACTAGAAATATGCTCCAAACTCTAAACTGTGGGTTAATCTAGAATGTGCTTTAGGCAATCCTGCTCTCCATAACATGCCTTGGATTCCTAAATGGATAAAAGTTTTATGTGTCTCCCAGGGAGTTGCAATTGCCTGCTGTTATTATTCTGAAAGTACAGACCCAAAGCTGCAGCAATAGGGCATTAAACTAATGAATCTTAATTAAGATTCATTCAATTTACATTTCAATAATTTGGGTGAGTTCGATGGGTGAAGGAAGAGGGCTGACACAGGAGAATGGTCAGATAGCATAGTTGTAAAAATTTTTATTGAAGTAGATCCATATAAATATGGTCTATAACTATCAAATCAATCCTTGAGTAAGAACTATGTACAACTGTGTTCAAAATAATAGCAGTCAGACATCACTAACCTGATCAA